TTATACCACAGTAACAAGTATTAACATAAATAGCAACACAAGGCACAAATGAGTTATCAACAAATAGGTAACATTTTCACAAAGGCATCTTTTGTTTCATAGATTAGTTAGTAGTCACTCATCTGATCTTTGTATGTGTCAATGAGATTCAGTTCAAAAATAAAAGCTTCACTTATGAAGGAAGTATTTCAGCATTTCAGTCTCTCAGATTATCACGAAACAGCAACTGGTGTTCACTTGCTATGAATAAAACCTTGTAAAACCCACCAGTACACCTGTTAATTAGGCACTGAACTACTGCACAAAGTGTGTAAAAAGGGGATGAAGTTTGTTGCAGCAAAGTTTGCAAGGAAACACACATCTTGTGAGTAAAGATTTAAAAAATTAAAGTCATATCATATAAAATGATAATCTCGATAGGTCGTTTATCATTTCAACACACTGCCTGATTACAGTACAATGCAGAAACAAGTGATCAAGTTTTGGTGGAGAGTGTTTTTTTTTTTCCTGAGAGGCAGAAGTTGTACATAAACATTTTACAAAGATGTTCTGAAGGTCAAAGCTTTTATCTGTAATTGAGAAATTATCTGCACAGTTTTTATCGTCTTTCATATATATAATTCTGTTTAAAACAAAATTAGGTAAATACAAGAAACCCTTTTTGTATATATATATACACTGTATATTGTGAAATATATGCTACGATACGACACACAATGCTCTATATTTAGTCAGTGATGTAAAAATCGCATAAATGTTTCTATATTTGGTCCTGATTACCTCCCAGGACTGTTTGTATTGCTGGTTCCCCTTACAGAACACGGATCATCCTACTGGTATTTAACACAGACAAAATTCAACAGCACTAGTTCACTCTGATTGGACCAAACGGTACCATGAGATTCACATACTTTGTCACTCACAGAGCATTAGATCACATTCTTCTCCTAATGAAAAATCCCACATATTTTTGTCATATATTTTTAATTGGGTTTTCTTGCTCTTTTAGGATTTGTGGGAAACTCATGTTTCAAGCACTGCTGCATGCATGCTGTTTGATTCTGTGTTTGCACATTAAGCAGTTTAACGCAATGTGTGAAAACACTATGTGCTACCATCACATTAAAAGAGGTCTTTATTTGAGAGTCTGTACAGCTTTAAGTTTTTGCAGGCCAACTCATTTGCATGTTTGTCTTATTTAACTTAAAAGACTCTTTTAAGTCAGTGCGGTTGCAGATATGAGAGCATCAATATCCTGTATGGCTTTAGATGTCCTTTGAAGAGCTTCAGCAATGCAGTTCTCATTTACTGGTTCATGAGTGACTTCTGCAGAGCTGCCTTCCAGGTCTGCGTGCCCTTTCTTATTCCTCAGCAGGTGGCTGTTTTCCAGCAAAACTGTCCACAGGATGTTAAAGAGTACACAAAGTCACCCTCAATATAAACATGTCTGACTTACAAACATTTACAACAAAAACTGACAGTCAGGGTTTGCGGCACTGAAGGATACAGTTGAATCGCTTTATCTTCTCCAGTTCTGCAGCAACAAGATCTGACCTGAAGTGAACAGGAGGTTAAATCAATATTACATACAAGCTGCTAACACTGTATCCTGCATTCAGTAAATAAAAACAGAGTGATCTGAGAAACGCAACTCACACAGTGTCTGCTGTCTCTGTTAAATGTATGTGTTGCACAGCATTGGACAGGTTTTCTTCAAGTGGGGCTGGTTTAGAAAAATGTATGTCCTGCAAACATAATTCTATAACATTATTATCTATTTGAGAGCTTGATTATTCTAGAAATAATGTAAGTATTTGCAGCTATACTCTACTTGTTTGACCGCTTGCAAGCAGCTGGGTGTGGCAGGAAGCTTTAGTGACTCCTTGGCCTGGTTGTAGCAAGTGAGGATCCTGGAAAACAGTTATATGATGGATAAAGACCTGAGCAAATTAAAGTCCTTCAACTCATCAGACTGTGATGACATGGTTAGCTTACCTACTTGCTCGACTCACTATAGAGCAAACAGAGTAGGCCTGTCCAAGCACATCGGGCGGAAGACTGTTTAAAAAGTAAGTTACCTCCTTCACCTGCGAGATAGACACAGTAGGATTAGTAGGATTTAAAAACATGTGTAGATACAGACTGGAATGTGTCATTTCTGTGATGAAAAAGTGAAACCGACCTGAACTGACTGGAGCTCAGGTTTGAGGTGGGTAAAATAAGAGGTGAGGACACCGTTAGACCGGATGATGGATCCATCTCCTGGGGAAACCTCTATGACTGAGACAGCTCCACTCAGAATCCTTCACAGTAGACACACAATCACAGTGTAGTTGTAAATACACATATTTAGCCACAACATTAAAACCACTTATAGGTGAAGTGAATAACATTGATCATCTTGTTCTAATTCTGCAGGGAAACCTTGGGTCCACTGTCAATGTCCCAGTTTCCATGGCCTGATGGGTCAGAGCTGTTTTGGCAGCACAAGGGGGCCCAACACAGTATTAGACAGGCGGTTTTAATGTTGTGGCTGGGAAGTGTATATCACGTCATGATATTTGGCTTCAAATTAAGGTAGAAGAAAAAATACATTCTTTCCATAATGTTAAAATGGTGAGGCATAACCTTTACAGAGGAAACTTTTTTCTTTTTCTTCTTTCTTCTTTTTTTAGAGTCAGATATCAACTTTCAAAGATCTTCAATGTCCTTGTTAAATCTGAGAACCTTCATACCTACCTATAGGTAACTCCTTGACACCATATTATTTTAACTGGCTCTGTAGGAAGGTCTGAATGTTCTTCTTTGGCCAGGGGGTCTTTAACCTTCCACCTTAAATACATGAGTAAAGAAGCCTAAATTAGTCACTGAACATTGCTACATCAGGCAAAACATGACTGTTATTAATTCACAAACCTGTGTCTGTGAGGTGATGGACATGTTAGAGGCAGGGCCTGAGGAAGGTGGGTCTTTCTTTCTTCACTGGGGATATCCAATGTGTTTATTCTCCTGTCTACCAGACTAGAATTGCTCCCTCTCTCTGTTCCAACATCTTTAGATTTGGAGAGACGAGCTGTCCAGTGATAGTGAGCCAAGGAGAGAGGGTAGGCCCACACAGGATCAACAGCACAGCAAGAGTGATGCTGTACCACTGTAGTGGACTGATATATCTGTTCAGGCTGGGAGCAGAAGCGAAATGATTTATGCTATCAAACCTGAGACCTAAGCACATGAATGTTTCTAAGAAGAATTACCTTTGGCTGTGCAGTGCTGACCATCTGAGGAGACCTTGATCTAGTCAGATTTTTCCTTCCGCTTCTCCCTCCCTGATGAACCTCCTCGGTCCGATCACTGGTGCTGTCACAGATCCGATTGCTCGCTTGCTGCTCACCGCCATCTCTGTTTAAACGCTGCATGTCATGGTGCTGGTTTCGACTCAGGCTGCATGTGAACTCGACGGAGAATTCTTCACCCGAAGGCGAGAGCACCAACGCAGCTCGTCCCTCCTCTGACCTGACGATGGTCTCGCCTCCGGGTCCAAGCACAGCCTGGTAAGACAACGGCTCAGGCCACTGCACAGCTGAATCAATACTGAAAAAAGGCTGTGAGGGGACACGTAGAACATACAGATACTGATATTACTTCCCACACATAACCTGAGGGACTAATAAGAAGCAAAGAAGTAGCTCAATACCTTCTTGAGGTCAGCAGGGGTGAGTTCCTCTGGCAGATATGGCCGACTAGCATAATTATTCCTGAAAGCCAGTGCAGCTACCATCAGCTCCTGTTATAAAATGACATTGAACAGAGATGGGTCTGCCTATTTACAGTATGTCACAAAAGTTGGTACAGGTGACATCCTGAAGCAGAGCATGAGCCCCTCCTTTCGGAAACTGGGCCGCAGGGCAGTATTCCAACATGATAATGACCCCAAACACACCTCCAAGACAACCACTGCCTTGCTAAAGAAGTTGAGGGTGAACGTGATGGACTGGCCAAGAATGTCTTCAGACCTAAACCCTATTGAGCATCTGTGGGGCATCCTAAAAAGGAAGGTGGAGGTCTCTAACATCCAACAGCTCTGTGATGTCGTCATGGAGGAGTGGAAGAGGATTTCAGTGGCAACCTGAGAAGCTCTGGTGAACTACATGCCCAAGAGGGTTAAGGCAGTGCTGGAAAATAATGGTGGCCACACAAAATATTGATACTTTGGGCCCAATTTGGACATTTTCACTTAAGGGTGTACTCACTTTTGTTGCCAACGGTTTAGACATTAATGGCTGTGTATTGAGTTATTTTGCGGGGACAGTAAATTTACACTGTTAAACAAGCTGTACACGAACTACTTTACATTGTAGCAAAGTGACATTTCTTCAGTGTTGTCCCATGAAAAGATATTTGCGGAAATGTGAGAAACGGAAATAATGAGACACTCTTTTTTTTTGACATACTGTAGTTACTTTAATGTAAAAAAAAAAAGAAAAAAAAAAGCCAAACTGTGTAAATGTTTCTCAACAAAAACAGCCATTGCCTCCCTTGTAACACTGTAACACTGGAAGCACAAACAACAGCTAACACAGTATCTATAGTAACCTTTCTACGTCCATGTTTCTACCTTGTAGGTGCTGATGGTGAACCGGCTCCTCTGTCGGACTCTGTCGGGGGGCAGCAGTCCTCGGGGGTCCGCGGGTTTCACCAGCGTGAATTCACAGCCACACGGTGACAGCTGTAACTGTGCTCCGTTTCCGTAACGAACATCCACCGACTCGTCCTCATACATTATCATCAAACTGACACCGGCGTCGGTTTCCATCGTCAGTGCGACCAAACTTTCCTGCTCGGCGCCGTGAACGCGCTCAAACTTAAAACTGTGACGTCATCAGAAAGGGACTGTTGTTATTGGCGCGCTCACAGAGAGGGAGGAGGCAACTGTACGAGCGGCACTGTAACACATTTAGACACATTTAATTTATTTAGAATTTTTAAATAAGAATCGTTTTTTTTGGCGGCCAGGGTTGCGAACCATACAGACAAACCATAAAAATACAATTAAAAAAATTACAAAGCAATAAAATAGAGGAACAATAAATTACAATAACAGCTACAACACAACTTAATATTAACTTTTCACTAGCCCCTGAAGTTGTTGGAAAACTAAATATGTTAAAGTTTACAATAATTATTAAAAATCTAAGTCTGGGTTATTAATACCACAACAACATTTAGTCAATGTATAGCAAATTAAATTATTTAAAATATATGAATATTTAAAAGTGGCTTCTGTCTTATGCTTAGTAATCCATCCATTATCTATACATCACTTAATTCTCACTAGGGTCGCGGGGGGCTGTAGTCTATCCCAGCCGACTTAGGGCGAAGGCAGGGGACACCCTGGACAGGTCGCCAGACTATCGCAGGGCTACACTTACAGACAGCCAAGCACACTCACATTCACACCTACAGACAATTTAGAATCACCAATTAACCTCAGCATGTTTTTGGACTGTGGGAGGAAGCTGGAGAACCCGGAGAGAACTCATGCTGCATGGGGAGAACGTACAAACTCCACACAGAAAGATCCCAGGCCGAGATTCAAACCCAGGACCTTCTAGCTATAAGGTGACAGGCCAATGATACAAAATATAATTGACAAATAAATCTGGATTAAATATTATAGATGACAGATGAGAAAATATATTGATCTCTAAGACAAGATTCGCAAGTTGCCCAGCAGAAAAAGTAGGTAAAGTAGTAGTTAAACTATATAAACTAGTAGTTAAATTACCTTTGATGAACATAATAGTGCATTAATAAATAATCAATAATATATACTGAATGACAATTGAAGACATCAAGCCTCTCCGTCTCATTCAGTCATATGCACACAAACACCCATGCGTCAAAAGTATGACATTACTAAGGTAGCCTATTAAAAGCTGCTAACATTCTGTGTTCATTTATGAATACTTCTAAAAAGTAATATTTGCTTTGTTTTATAAATTATTTTTGATACGATCCAATTGTATTAGCACAAAATCAAAACTTGAGATGAATATCGTAAAAAAAATGAAAAAAGTAGCATTTACTTTCATCTAAAATTGTAAGAACTCATAATATTAATATTCACTGGAAGAAATTTTGCATAAATGTTACGAACATTTGTTGTGATCCAGCTGTATCAGCATGGCATTAAAAATTATGACATAAATAACATTTACTTTGTGGTTTAAGGTTTTTGGTGATTTTTGCAAAAATGTCTGTAAATGTGGGTAAGTGAGTTGTTACAAATTAAATCTACAACACAAAGTCTGTAGACTAGAAATAGAAATATATTTATGTTGTTTTGTTCCAAAATGTTTGTTACATCCTATGAAGGAAAAAAAATGACCCTTTTCTCTTATAACATATCTCCTTTTAGCTGTTAGCGAGACATTGTCTCAAATTAGCCTATTGATTAGAGCAGGTCTCTTTGGTCTCTGCTCTCCTTTTACCTCTACCAACCTGAGCCCTGTCTCCATGTGAAGGCCTCATCTTGCCTTGTTGTGGCTTATCCGACAGACAAGCGCTACCGTAGTAGGAGGAAGACATGATAGAACTCTCTGTTCTTGTCAAGGTTGGACTTATCTGTTTCTAACAATACTAAGCAGACTAGCTGTCTCCACATTGGTCTGTAATCTAAATCTGACCCCTCACCCAGATTCAATATATACCTAACAGTGAGAGAGGATCCTCAGAATTGATGCTGACACAGCCTGCATGTACTGCTGCTCTGTTGGCGTCACATCTCCTGATCAGTAAACATTATTACAACAGAAGCCATTTGAGATTCCAACGTGTCTCTCTGTGTCTGCCTCCTCATCCTCCAAACAATCTCCCTGATTTCCACAACATATCCCAGCTCTGCTAAGGAAAAGGGAAAAAACATAAAAGCAGGTGTTCTTGGTTTGGTAAAGCAAGTTATTGCTCAGTGATATAATTCATAAAAAAGAAAGGTGAAGTTAAAACTGCAAAGAAACCGGGCCCATGGGTGTTGCTAAATTAATGAACCAAATAAAACCACACGAGGGCTAACAAAGTAGGTAAAACAAAAAAACGAACAAAAGAAAACAACTAAACTCCTTAGCCAACCTTAAAGACAAGGCAGCAACACCTCTGGTCAGCAAAAGTAAATAACAAGTTTGTGCAAGGTGGAAAGAAAAAGCTAAACATATGAGTGTGTCAGAGCATGTAACCATTTTTTAGTGGCTACAGAAAAGACAGACATTACTAGACTACAAGTAACTACTAATTCATACATATATATATATATATAAATGATATTCAATTGTTGCACAGAAAGCAGCAAAGCCTCCACCTCCCAGGACTCCAGCCTTCAGTACAGCTACAAAGCAAAAGCAGAATGAAAGTAAGAACAAGACATACACACATCCTTTCAGTGTGAACCATCAAAGTAAATGAAGCAGGTTACACACCTAGAAACCACGCTAGCAACTAGAAGGGCTGTGTGTTCTTATATACAGCAGTCTTACCAGAAATATATATTAAGTCCAGAAAGAGGTTGTTATATGCAATTAGCTAGTTACCTTTATTTTTAAAATTCATCCTGCACTGACAACTTCAACTGTAGAGTTAGCCAGCATGTATCAGATGTTCATCCTAAGCCCTGTAGAGTTAGCCAGCATGTATCAGATGATTAGTAACCGTT